GGGGCGGGGGGTCGGAGAACCGGGGGTGTGGGTAGGACGGTGTACCCGGTGGTGCCTTAGTTCTCCACTTCGCAACTCTTTCCGCCTCTGTTTACCGATTGTTAGATGAGTACAGCCTGAGTAAAAGTGGCTTTCCTACAAAACTGAACACATCCCTTTGGTATCGCAGTCCAGCTCAAGAAACAGCATATGATCAGCCGCCCTTCCCCCTTTCACGCACTAAGTGGGGTTGGGACTTGTGCGAGTGCGTGTGTGTGTATGTGCGGGTTTTAAATAGTACTCAGGGTAGGCCTGATTAACATTTGAGAAAAGAATTGAGTTAGACAAGGGAAAGGATGGATAGGGAAAAGTCTTCCCAGGCAAAGACTGTGAGGTGGGGCCCCGGGCCGGCAGCTTTGGAGAATAGCGCGGCCATAGGGAGGTGCGTGGGAGTGGATCCTACGTCGGCCTCCTTGACCATGGCTCTGTCTTTGGTTCTCAGATCGGTTCGTGAAACGCAAGAAAAAGGCGGCAGCAGCTGCGGGAGGGAAAAAGGGGTCCAAGTACAGCAAGGACTACACCGAGGGCTGGGTGGAGTTTCGGGACAAGCGTGTAGCGAAGCGCGTGGCGGCCAGTCTCCACAACACGCCGATGGGTGCCCGTAGGCGCAGCCCCTTCCGTTACGACTTGTGGAACCTCAAGGTGAGATAAGCCTGTCTACTACATCTCTCATCCTCCTCTTTCCCAACCCTGGCCCAGTTATCCCCATAACCTGTCTTGGGCCCTGCTCGGCTCCCATCTCCTCTCCCTCCCTCCTCCTCTCCCTCCCTCCTCCTCTCCCTCCCTCATCTGATATACTGATCTTTTCTTGTCTTCCTGCCCTCAGTACCTGCACCGTTTCACCTGGTCCCACCTCAGCGAGCATCTTGCCTTTGAGCGCCAGGTGCGCCGGCAGCGCCTGAGAGCGGAGGTTGCCCAGGCCAAACGTGAAACTGACTTCTATCTTCGAAGTGTTGAGCGGGGACAACGCTTCCTTGCTGCTGATGGAGACCCTGCTCGTCCGAATGGCTCCTGGGCTTTTGCCCAGCGGCCCACTGAGCAGGAGCTGAGGGCCCGGAAAGCAGCTCGACCAGGTGGACGTGAACGGACTCGCTTGGCTAACGCCCAGGACCAGGCCCGCTCCAACCGAGGGCTCCTTGCCAGGATCTTTGGAGCTCCACCACCCTCAGAGAACATGGAGGGACCTTCGCAGGGCAGGGACTCTTGAGGAGCAGGGGGGACCCTTCCACTTTCTGGTCCTGCCTTGCTTTCTGTCTACCTCATACGAGAGTGATGATGACTACCCAGGCAGACATTTTATCGTGTTTCTCAAACCTGGTGTCTCTGGTGAGGGCCCAGACCTGGAAATTTTGTGGGCCTCCCTACTTCCCCCACCCAACTCCTGTACATGCCTGGCTGAGGTACCTAATTCATACTAGAATGATTATGACTGTTGCAGATGTGTGAATTGTGTTGTTTGACTCTTGGCTACCTGCCTTCTATCCAGTGGGGTCCCCTAAAAATTCTACTTTATTGCGCCAGGAAGAGCCTTTATTTTTAACTAGAGTGATAGTGGTTTGTCCAGGCAATCTTTTTCTGTTTATCAACTACAGGTAAGGGAAGCAGCAGCATCCTTTTTATTTACAAAAAGTTAACAGGTATAGGAGTTAATGGGGTGGGACTGGATTGGGGACCACCTTCTAAATATATTTATAGAAAAGAATAAATATATTTTAATATGCTTTTTTAGTTTCAGGGGAGGGGAGCTCATTGGGCAAGTTCCATCTTTGATCTCCTTGTGCCCCATTCATTCACCTTCACTCCGTCTTCTGGTCTCAGAGCCCCCCTTTCAAGTTGGACTTTTTTTTCTCTCTGTTTAATTTCTTAGCGCAGTTCATCAGTCATTTGTCTAATTCAGCATTTACTAAGCCACTGTGTGAGGAAGTAGTGACAATGGGTAATAGCACGTGGCCCTTGGTGTTAAGTCTTATAGGTTACTAAAATAGAATAGAAAGGCATCATGGTAGATTGTATAAGGGGTAGAGTGGGGGCCAGGGCAAGGCATGGTATGCTCTCAGGGTGGACCTGACTCATAATCACAGTCTTCAGAGATGGGTCAGTCCTCACCAAGTTTTCCAGGTCATTCCTGGAAAGTGAACTGGGAAAATGACAGAGAAATCTGAAGGATTCCTGTGTGCTCCTACAGTTGCAAATAGTGCTTTGTGGATGGAGTGTTGCGTTCGAACAACTGTAAGGGTGGGCAAAGCCTAGGAGGGAAGTCAGGAATAAAAGCCCCTGGCATGTACGTATACCTTTTGCAGCTTAGACAAGGGAGGGTTCACACAAAGGCACAAAAAGCAGCCCTGGAGGCTTCAAAGAATCAGTGTAAGCTACTAAGAGGAGCTGAAAACAGGTGTCAAATAAGGAATCTATACACAGTCTCATATAGACTAAAACCTGATCATTATCCAGGCTGTTAACTTTCAGAGAGTGGTAGAGTGATTATAATTATTTGGGTTTTGCTTGTGCTCTTTGTTTCTTTTGTTTTTTCTTCTGTCAATGTAATTATTCATAGTTGGTTTGTTTTTTAAGAGGAATGGATTTATCCACTTTGACTATAAAACATCCGAGCCATGTTATGATCTTAATTTGATAGGCGCTTTTTATTTGGGAGAATAAAAGAGACCATTTTCTGCAACCCACATACCTCTCCTCAGCAAACGTTAGGTGTAATGTTATTCCCTAATCTTAAGAACTTGATGTCCTTGTTTCTTGTGTTCATTTCTTGTGAGTTTGTTTCATGTGTATTGTTTCCTCAAGTCATGATGTTCAAGTGAACCAGAAAAGTCCAGCATTAGAATTTGACAAGAGAAATATTCATTCATTTAGAAGTCTGTGTGCCCATTGCCACCTTTGCTAGATAAAAAGATACCAAGATGAAGAAGAAATATTTCTTTCTCTCAAGTTGCTAACAGCTTAGAAAGTAAACCAAACATAATGAGGCTTACTAACTGTTTCTTGAATGAATGAAAGAAATTGTGTTCCCAGGCTGGGCAGCATTTAGGTATCAATATACTCAAGGGCCAGCTTCTCAGGCACCAAATTCAAATAGTTCTGCACAAAATGCTTACACCTGCAGTCAGCCAGGCTGTGCAAGTCACAGGTGGAGTGAGAAATGAAAATAAGAGTGGGTGGAAGAAAATGAATTTCCCAGGAACTTTCATCTTGATTCCCTCTAGACTTTATACCCTTTGAGGTCAGGAAGTTTTTTTTACACCCACAATTTAGTTTTCATTTAAATAGCACTTCGTTTTTTATATGAATTAACTGATCACAATTTACCAATTAATTTTTATCTTTTATTCCCCAAGTCTTTCATAGGTTCTTTTCACAGCATGCATGTGATGAATGCTTATTGCATGAATCTCATGAGACACAGGCACATATAGACTAGAGAGTGAGGTGTATTGCAAATATAATGGACTTTATCTAAGACCGGAGTAGCAGAATGGGTAATTCTCTGTTGGGAATGCAATCCATTCCCAACCGAGAAGCTGGGACTTAGCATTCACTGGCAATAGAAGGGGCTGATTCTGCATAAAATGAAGAGGTGAAACTCCTGTTA